TTTGCACCTTCTGCTTAACCACTCCTGCATTTCAGGGCTGACTTCCCTCAACCCAAGATAAGGGTTTCCGCTGCCTTCAGAAGGGAGAAAATCGTGATCTTTGTCTGCAAACACCACAGATGGGGTCGGTGGGAGAAGATAAGGGGGTGCTCAACACAGTGAATGTGCAGTATGGACCAAGGAGACTTTGACTTGCTCATTTACTTTTTTTTTTTTTCTGAAAACAAGGGAAAGTTAAAGCGTGGTCTTAATATTACCAGTCACCCACTAATGCCAGTGAGATGATATCAGCACGTGTCATCAGAGAATGCCTCCCAAATTCCCATCCTTGCTGTAGAGGTGCCTGCCAGACAGGCCACGGCAATACAGTAAGCATGAAAGATCACCCTACTGCTACTGCAGGCTCAAGCTACAAAAAATAGAAGAATGTTTCAATAAAAAAATGCTCATTTCCTGCTGCTGCACATCCACTCTTCATCAATTATCTGTGATCCATACTTTGCTTTTTGAATTCAGATCATACAAATGAGGAAATACACTACGAGTGACCTGCCAAGTCCCTTCAGCAGATGATTTATGAACTGATTTGCTTTAGTTTTCCCTAACTAAGCGTTCTTGGGCTGACATTTAGTCACACTCCGCTGGTACTTTTGATCTTCAAGCCCCACAGGGATATTGGTATGGAAATGAGGGATTATAGATACCAAACCCAAATTAAATCCGTCTGTGGTTTTTCACTGGGCAGCCTGGTCACTGATGCCAGGCAAGACAAAGAAAGTCACAGTTTCTGGTGGGAGAATTTTCCGTAGGTGGGAGCTAGCACGGAGTGTTGCACTGATGTTATCTCCTGCCCAGGGACCTCCCAGCGCATTTCCGGAAGGCCGATTCACAGCACACCAGGGGCTTGGGAAAGCCACCTCCGCTGCAGCAAGCGCTGGACAGGCACTGGCTGTATTCCCAAATTACTCATTTTTGCTTTGCCTCATAGTTTTTAGAATTCACCTTTTTTTTTTTTTTTTAATGGAAAGTCAGAATTTTCAATGAGAAACAAACACCTTTTACAAACATAAATATTTTGGCTTAAAATTAAATTTTACAACAAAAACCAATTATACAGTAATAAAATCAACTTCCACCACTACCAGTCCAATCTCCTGTTTAAAAGGATGGTCTCTCGCACCTTTGTACTATTCACTCAGAGTGAATTTATTTTGACATAAAAAATGATGAGGCAGAATTGCTACATACCTTGTTCGCTTTTTACTTTTACAGTGCCTTGCATTTCTAAAACTCTTCAGGATCAAAAAACACTGACTTTTCAAAATCTAAATCATATTTTTAAGATTTAGCTCTGCTGCACAAACATCCAGGCATGCACAGTGAACTACTTGACTTACTGAACCAGAGAGAATTGTTGCTAAATAGTTACCGGCACACACAGAAGACAGGAGAAATTTCAAGGAAAAAAAGTCCTTATAAAGTATATTCTGTCAGATATATTTTTGATAAGTGACACATTGGTCAAACAGAAGGTGGATAGTCTGACTTACCTGGTAGGCAGCTAGTGATCACATCTGCACAGCCAAGTTAGGAGGATAAAAGCTGTTTCATTCATGCACTTCCGACCACACCACCCTTTTCAACGCATCACATCTTTGATTTTCTGAGTACTCAGTCTTAGAGAAACCATGTTTCACCAATACAGGTCTATTATTTGCCCTAGAAATTTCCCTGTTTTTCTTTTTTAAAAAAAAAACCCTATTTATTTCAAGACAGAGTTCTCCAAGGCGCGCAGCTACGTGAGGCTGAACAAAGTGATGGGTACAGCACCTTTAGCTTTATGATTTCAGGGTTGTACTGCACAGCATCTCCCCACTCCTGCATGAGCGCAGCCGTCGGCAGGTTTTTGTAAGCCAACGCCGTAACGTGTTCGCTTGCTCCGCCACGAACGAGAGCGATGAAATCTTCCACGTACTGTTTTTTGGAGGTGCTGTCTGCAAAAACAAATTCAGAAAGTGGCCAGCTCTGCTCAGGTACATCTTTGTGGATTGCAGATGAAATATAAGATCACAGCATAACATTCCTGTGTATGATCCATCCCACTGAGAGGGGAAAGGAAAAAGGCCACGAGCGTTCCACCCCTGAATTGTGGTTTTCCATGCTGCTCATCCTGTGCCCTTCCTGCTTCCCTACAGTGATACCCCCATCCCCTTCTCCTGCACCCTACATCCTTCCCCCTAAATTTCTTCCCCATAGTTACAAGCTTGCAGGTCCTTCCACAGCCCGCAGCTCTTCACCACCATGAATGTTGCCCGTTCTTCTCCACATTTCTTCAGGTGCACCCTCCTCCCACTGCAACACTGCCACCTTCCCGTATGTCCCCTGAGGCTCCCACACCTGCTTTCACCTTTTGAGCTTCTTTGGGTGCAAAAACCAGGATTCTGGGCTGATCTGCTGAGAGGTGGGTGCATTCATATCACAGCACCAGCTGGGTGGGTAATGGTTGATCTATCCCTGCTTTTCCCTGGGACATTGAGTGGATATTTTTTCTCTATCCAGCAAAGAAAATCTTGCAAAAAACACAAGCTTTGAGATATCTACATCTCTTTTAAGCTTGGCTGGGGTTAGCCAGTAGACTAAAAAGCAGCTGTGAGGGAGTGGGGAAATATTTCAGGCAGGCAAGATCATAAAATCTTCTTTTCACTACGACAAAGGCTAGAAATTAAATGGTAGAAGTGTTTCATGCTTACCTCCAATCTCTTTTAAAAGAGATTTACAGCCGGCTTCAGTTATTCCAAGCTTCACGTAGGCATAACGAATATTTCCTCCAATGCTAAAGTCACGCTGTGCACATTTTTGGACATCGCTCAGAGAATAACCTTAAATACATACCAAAAAAACGTAGTGTTTTAATACAACTGCTTGATGTTTTATGTCCATATATACAGAAAATGAGAGTTGATAAGTATTTTTGCTTTGGGAAGAAAGGAGATGAGATGAAGAAGCCTTTTTTGGGATATTTAACAGATTTATATGAAATGATATTAAATATCTACATTTTACAGAACTCTGAAACCAAGTGCAAATGCAAAGTAAATGCTGGAAGAGGACAGTTTTAATTACAAACTCAGTTGTACTGGGTTATGCAGAGCTGCCATGGCTGGGAGCCTGGCCTGTGAATTAAACATCAAATGTCTTTGACAAAGGACTGCCCGCTACCCATCCCCATGGTCAGGAGCCAGGCTTTTCAAGAGTAGCATTTCCTCCCTTCACTAGCTCACATCTCCAATTCTTTGCTGCCAGAAGAGCCTTAATTGTTTCATGGAAGTTTCTCCACTATTTTTTTTTTTTTTCCTGGCATATAAGAATTGGCCCTAAAAATCTGCAAATCCATCATATGTTCTTCCCTGGAGTATTTCTCCAAACTCCTTGCTGTCCTGAGGCTCAAGAATATTTAAGCAGTCATCATGGTGAAACACCAGATATGACACTTAAGTATCTCTTTCTTTGCTTTTTTGTTGTAATTCACCATGTTTCCTTGAATTCCCTGTATCTACTTTTTTAGTTAAACTCGTATCTGGACACCAATGTTTACATGAGCTCACAACGCAGGTATCACTGTATGGCTGTCCTGTTCTTATGCTCTTCTCATACATCTGATATTGGCTGCTTTCTAGATGAGAAAAGAGGATGCACTGCGTTTTGGGCTGATGCAAGATAGCCCCTATTAATGTTCATAGTCTGTATGCACCTGAAGGCAGGAACCACCATTTTAGGACATCGTTGTACAGCACAATCCAGACCTCTCTCCTGCCATCCTTCCCACAGAAAGTATCGAATCATGAACCACAGACACATCGGGCATGTGAGATTACATGTGAGATCAGTGCAAGTACCAGCCATGTGACACGGTGTGCAATGCTAGATTTGCAAAAGAAGACTTGATTTCCAGCACAGACAGCACAAACATAATGATTTCATTTCATAGATTTCTAGGTTGGAAAAGACCTTAGAGATCATCCAGTCCAACCGTCCCTAATCTCCCATTAAACCATATCCTTAAGTAGTTCATCCACCCATGATGCATTTGAAGGGAAAAACCTGAATTCTCAGACTGGACCTTCCAAACCCCGGAGAGAACACACAGCCCAGCTCAGCACTGGGGATAGTGTGAAAATGTTGGTATCACTGAAGGATCCTGCTCCAGATGAGCAGATGCTGACAGGCAGCATTTCGATGCAAACAATAACACTCATGAGTTCAAACAAACGTGGCTTGTGATGGGCCCACAACAACAGCTGAGAAATTGGGCAGTGCTAATGTTTTGAATATCTGAAATCTCAATCTAAATTCTGTCCCTCCGGGCTATACCCGACTCCAGGATAAGCACCTTCCTAGACAGCAGAAGAGCAAAGAGACCGAGTGCCACACACGGCAGAGTCCACTAAATGCTTTCGCAAACAGACAGCGAAGGCGGTTACTCACTCCCATGCCAATGAATAAATAAGAGAGTGCAGCTATTGATTAATGTCACACGGCTCGCTCCATCCTGCACAACAATCATCATTTCTCGCCAAAAAGGAAGCCAGGGTCAAAGAGCAAGAGCAACGTCAGGCGCAAGAGTCACCCAGCAAATTATTTACTGTTTCCTACATGCTGGAAAAGCTCTCGAGGCTAAAGGTGTTTCAAAACTGTCATTTGAAAGGCGATGGGAAAAGATCTTATGTGAAGGTTTTCAAAGCTAACAAAAGCGTTGAGCTACACGATTCTCATTCATCTCAACATCATGTCAGCCTCCAAAACGTGTCGTCTAAAATACTTCCTACAGGGCCCTTTTTTATGAACTGGCAGCACCCCCAGCTTGAGAGCTAGATGAAGCCCATGATGCTGAGCATGCTTTGAAAACCAGTCTCTTTATTCACTGTCGTAAAACACTTCTACTCCCATACTTCCTGCAGGCTTTCTTGGAGATAGATGTCGTTGACTCCTTCTTCCACCACCTCTCTTTTCTGACCTCACACCTGAACCATCACTGGAGGCCTGCAGAGGGGTTTTCCCCTCAGAAAAGCTGACCCCCAAAGCTTTTTCACAACCATCAGACGCACGTACCTGCCTTGCGGAGCTCATTGCTGTTCATGACTAAAGTATATTCATAGATGCCACCGACGATAGCCTCCATGATGTAATGGGTCCCGTAGTCTCTGTAGAGCTCTCTGTACTCCCCGTAGCTGTACTCCAATGGAAGCTGATGGAGCCTCTGCAGGAACTCGTAATGCAGCATCAGGGCTCGGGGCTTCAGCTTGTAAACAGCAACAGCCAGCTCTGAACGGGCATGGATGAATTTGCTGGACTACATGAAAGGCAGAAACACAAGAGAATCCAGAAGTGAGGGATGTCATTCTTGTGGCAACGTGTAGTTATTTGCTATTCAACAACTAACGCTGGTCAGGACGTATCAATATAACAGTTTGCAACCGGAAATCTTTTAATTTAGCAAACCCAACACTTCTAGCAATCAAGTTTCTGAAAATCATGATTATGACTGGTATAAGGGAGGGAAGAAGGAAGAGGGAGAGACATCCATTACATATTAGGTGATGGCCCAGGCCACAACGGAGACGTGGGGAACAGCAGGCTCCAGGCTCTGCTCTGATGGATCCAGGGTGCAAGGACACAAGCAGCATCGCACGAGACTGCTCTGCCCCCAATAATGTCGGCCAGCCTTTGTCTCTCACAAGCTCTCTCCTGAAGAATTCTGACATCTGAAATCACCACCATTTATATGTGAAATGGTAATTCTCTGGTTGATCCAAATTAATATTTATATTCCACAGAACATGCCATTAACAAAATTCAAAGGAAAGAAGAAAACACGAACACTCACACACACATACACATTATTTATATGTCTCTGTACAAATAGGTGTAAGTGGATAAATGTTCTATCTCCCTCTTCTGGCATAAAAGTCAGGAACAGAGGAGGTCTTTCATCATGGTCAAAGGATTTAGTGTCCAGTTGTTTGGGCCAAGAGGACAACAGGATCAGGGGAGGTTCAACATAGAACTCTGTAGCTTAAATAATAAAATCAAGACTTAGCATTGGGTTTCTTTATGGATATCTATTGCAAATGCCTCTCATGTACCTCTGATCTTGTCATGGGAAACGCCTCTCTGCAGGAAGCAAATGCAAGTTTAACAGCAACAAGGCACACTCTGCCATTCCTGAGTGCGCTTTATACCGAGGGGAGAGACATAGATCAGTGATACTATTAAACCATTGACAAGAGATAGGTTTGTTTACAGTAATAACAGATGAAAATAAAGAAATCAAATGAAGGTGCACACTACCTCAGACTGAATCTCATCAAGCAGCCCTAGGAGTTATGGATTAAAGCATCTCCAGCCAGCTTGAAGTGTGCATCAGATCACAGCCGTGACCAGATCTCCGCAGACGAGGCTGGAGGGGATCGTGCCATTTGTATTTTGAGGTGTGTTCCCCTTGATCTGGTGAATGATGTAGGCGGCAGATAGATCACATCAGCCGAAGTAAAATGGCATGTGTCAGTCTATAATTAAAGCCACGGAAGGCCTGCTAGCTGTTGTCGTTCTGGGTTATTGTCAGGCCTGTCCTACAGTTGACCAGCTTGGCTTTGCTCTTTGCATCATCATTTACTGAAGTGACAGCTCCTGCCTTGCTGAACCCACCAAAAAGAGCAATGGCCCTTCACGTGTGAGATGATATTCTGCAATGATTGCACAGACAACATCCGTCTGTACTGCAGACCGGTTTCTGGACTGCATGTACAGGTGCAGAAATTCCCGGAACTGCAGAAAATCCAGTTTGTCCTCCTTTCACCCCAGATTTCTCTATTCTTTGCTGTAACTCACCCGTAGGGCAGAGGGAACTCCGGGCTCCTGAGTTCATCAGCTAAACCCCAATTTCACTTGTGCAGAGGAGTGGAGGAGTGACCGTGTTGGTTGCACCTGCTCACCTCCCACCTGTCAGACTGCTTTGGCACCAGTGGTAAGAACTTTGTAACGGGTAGCAGGGCAAGGTGCACAGCATCCCATGGCTGAGCGCAGCACCGAGACTCTTAGGACTGTCACTTGTACATGTCCTACGAGCAAGTTCACTGTACGGAGGAGAAGCCAGTTGAACCGGCTTCTTAGTTTCATTTTTTTCCCAATAACTTCCCTACAAACACCCAAATGTGGATGACCAGCAGGACACTGGACAGACTGCACTCAACTGTGGCTGATTTTGGAGGTTAGGCAGCCCAGTTCCTGGTCAGTAAGTGAATGGAAAAGCTCCTGGGTGCTGTAAACATGAAGTAAAGATGAAGGCGTTGTGGCCTTAGTAAACACTTGGCCAATGCAAACTGCAAAATCCAATCAGGAGAAAATGTTTCATTTATCTTAGTCATGGCTGCTGACCTGAGGATGGGGATCAAACCGATACACACACACGCACACACAGACAACGCGTTCGCAGAGAGTTAAGTGGAGCAGTGCTTACAGTTGAAGAAAATCTTTTCATCCGTTGAATGAACTTCTTGAACCTGTTGTCGTTAGAATTGTAACCAAGTTCAAACATTTTTGGTATTTTTATGCCAAAGCTGAAGCTAGACTGCGAAGCTTTTGCCTTCAGGACGCTGCTTTCATAATTTGAGTAGGAGTCATATTCAGTCATTGTAAATTCATATTTGCCTTTGGTCTAAACAGAAAGCAAAACCAACACGTTTAATTTCCTACAGAGCGATTGTACACCTGAAGCATGGGGAAGGAATACAGAGACAAACATACTTATGAATTAATGCTTGCACTTTGAAGATGTAAAGCCTTGTCTAATTGCAAAGAACTATTATTATTAACACTGGTACTTCAAGAATACTTGACTCGCAGAAGCAGGAAAGCTACTACCTCCTCCATACTGCAAGGACCTCAGGCTTTTACTTAATATGTCAATCTCACGCAGAGAAGGTGAAATCTTAAACATAGGCATCAATGAAAGTATGAATTCTAAAAGGAAACGGTTTCTTAACGGGCAACGCTCAAAAATATCATGCTATGTCATTAAGATCATCAAGATCAAATATATAATGTTCAAAATATATCCTTGATGCACCACAGAGATGAGCTAGGTGCCTTTGCCTTTCCACAAAGCACACAGTGTGCTGTTACCTCCCAGGCTCTTGCTCAAGGGCAGCTTTCCCCACCTGGATCTCACGGCACTCTACAATTCTGTCTAAAATTAATGTCCCTGTGCCCGCTGGGTGGCTGTAGGGACCTCTTGTACACACGGCACCAGGAGGATTAGGCTCAGTTTTTGCAATGACAAGGTCCAAAGGAACGTTGTCATCTATTCCAGTGCACGTGGGTATTATAAGGAGACTTGTCCAATTTCACAGAGAGTCTGAGGTATGATGATGTTCTAGAAGTAGGGCTAAATTCAGCCTCATCCCATTTGATCTCACGAGTTTTGTAATTTTTTATAAAATGATTTAGTAATGAAGTTTTATCGTTATTACGCACTAAACTTACTGAAATATTTGTATTTATATTTATTTACAGAACAATCTGACGCATACCTCTGGAATGTAGCTTTCTATGTTGTATGGCTTTCTGAATCTTGTGTCCACAATATAATGGGGAGAACATCCCCCAGCATAGTACCTGTGATCAAGAACTAATCCTTCCAAGCTGTTTGTGAAGATATTTAACCTGTAGATGAAGCATAACAGAAAAATACTAAGATTGTCATTGATTTAGGGGTAGACATCAAAGGACTTGGCTGAGAAAGGCAAAAGATCTTTTGTTTGGCTGAGGGCTCTTTGTTTTGTCTTTGCTGGCTGCTTTATTTTGAAACCCCAAAAGAAAGTTTTGCCTCTTTCGCTGTCTGATCAACCCATTTGCTCCAGAAAAAAACAACTGACTAACAAAAAAGCAAAAGACAGAGTCAAATTTTGACACTTCGATGAATACGAAGGGAAATTTTCACCACTCAGCTAGGAGTGACACCAGAGCATTACTGCCACCAGCATGGCCAGCTTCCATAGCTTTTACCAGAACTCTCTGGGAAGAGCAGAACAAACTGCACCAGTCAAACCCTCACCCCATCAGGTTGCTCACCCTGAGCATCCCTGGATGCCCACTGTATTCCCACTGTGAAGCAGGATCTTCAAATACTGTTTTGCTAACCCGTGTCATCAGTCCAGACTAATTTTTAATTCACATTTCTTTGTTCTAAGAAATTTCTTTGAAATTTATCTTTCATAATATTTGCTGTGTTGGTCAAGGAAGAACCAGAGGTCAGTAGATGAGAATGAAAATTGTCAGGGAACAAGATCTAGGTACTCAAGCAATTGTTCAACTATTCCTTGAAGTCATTGGGAACTTTTACTTTGATATTAGTGGATGATGGACAGTAATCTTAACCTGTCTGCTCTAAGAAAGGACGTAGCACTGCTGCCTTTTCAGACGAGATGATTAAACCTCATCATTTGCTTTTCCTGTTGCTGTTGGAGGGATCTGCTGCAGCAAAACCCTTTCTGTCGCTCACTGCCAGGACACTCACATCACCCTTGTGCCATGCAGCTGAGGACATGGCACTCATCTCCACAAACTCATATTCAAATAGTAACATGAGCCATTAGACAAAACTTAAAAAAAAAAAAAAAAAGAAAAATTGCTAATAGTCCATGCCGTGTTCCTATTAGTGTTTCAGGCCCCTGTTAGATCTGTCTCTCCTTATTTTGGGGAGAGGGACTTGCATGATAATGACTCTGAGGCTGTAAAATATTAACTCTAATTTTAGAACAATCTGAAAAGAAGGGAAGTCCACTAAAAGCAAATTACTGAGCAATTGCAGCTTCAAAGACATGAAAAGCATGTTCCTATAATTGTCCTACATTATTTTTAATTTTGATTAAACTCAGAAGTACAAAGCATTAGCAATGACATGTGCAGCAGTCATATCTCCAGAGAATAAGGAGGAAATTATAATTTTTTCCTTGCAACATGATTTTTTTTTTTAATGTATAAAGCATTTTTTTCCTGCAGAATGAGAAAAAACTCTTTTCACACAGTCCGATCATACAGAAAGCTGCCACAGTCTTAGCCTGTAAAAGCTGGATCAATTCAGATGTGCATTTTAATCCTGGCAAAATTGGGCAAAGTTGGGGTTTCCTAGCATGCAGGTTAATCCTACCCTACTTACGCAAAGGAAACAAATTCCACTATCTCTCCCTGTTGAGGAAGAAATCCAAGAAATTTTGACACCCCCAACAAATTAATACGCTGTGCAAAAATACAAATCCATAGTCAGGTTCAGATTTAATGTAATCCAAGATGATGATTTAAGTCACTCTATAAGGATTGGTATAACTGTATGTTGAGATTCTAACAAACCTTCCTTTGTTTTTATTCCAAAAGCACAGTTTGAAGTAGTCCCTTGGTTCCTAAAGGCTACGATACTCCTGCTCCCCACAGATTGGATTGGGACAAAGTCTCACTTTACTTACATCTGTGCAAAATAATTGGATTATCAAAACTTTCCCACTGATTAATTTAAGGGCAAGTACCATATTAGAGAAATGTTTGGTGTTGACATTTCCCTCTTCCCTCACCAGGTTTTGGCAGCATGAAGAGCACACACGGGCTCTTGAAGTACATAGTCACAAGCTGAGCTGATGATCTCCGGAGGGTGCACAAGTACCTCCAGGCACATCTGGGACTTCTACTCACCTCATCTCTCTCCAAGTGACTCATGGAGTCAATAAGGATTTTCCCAGTGGGCTTTGGATCAGGATCCCAAAGACTGTCGAATCCCAACCACTCAATATATCAACTGCTACAGCTTTTCCCTGTTCAATGCTTATGGCTGAAGCCACATAAGATGATTCTTATCCTTAAGTAAGAAAACATCTCATGAACGTCACTCACCCTTTTGCCAGATTCTCTATTCCCCAGTATTGCTCCATCTTCTGGTCACATTTTTTAAACACTTTTTTGCAGTTTTTTTCGTCTGACTGGTCCCCACAGTCATCATCCCCGTTACAAAGCAGCCTCCGTGTAATACATCTCCCTAGGATGCAAGGTGTAAATTACTCATAAAACAAGGTGTTATCATGCTTACTGGTAATTTTGCAAAATCACAGTCCCTGGCTCAGAGTCTAGAAACAAAACAAAGACTCCTGTAACCTAAGGTTCAAAACTAGCCAGAAAATACTTCCTCTCTATCTGCATGGAAAACCTCAGGTTTTTAATCACCAAGCTCCTTCTGCTCAGTTTTCCTCAAAACTTTCAAAATCTTAAAATTCCTTGTTCAATCTAGTAAAAAAAGAGAAATCTCTAATTAAAAGCATAAAAAGTAAAAATTTCCCTATTTGGAGATTTTAAAGACATGCTTTAGACTAAGATAGACTCAAAACCATTGATGCAAACACAACACGAGCATGGATGGACACTAGTCAACTCCTGACATGTCTTTAGCCCATCAAACTCTTGTAGAAGCTGAAAGTTCAGTGTGGTGGTGTCAGAGATGCCACCTGAGCACCATCACTTCTCACTCTGTAAGTCCTTACCTGTAACTGCACACACAAAACCTTCACACCTGACTTTATTCCTGCAAGGATTATTTGTAACACAGTCTTCTGTTTCTTTGTCAGAATAATCACACGGATCTCCGTTGAACTGAGAAGGTTGTTCCAGGCGGGCAAACCTGTACTGTGATGAAATAAGAAATACTGACTCAATTGTAGAGAAATTGTGAATTTTACACTTCTCTAGTTAAAATGCAAACTTTGTGTTGGGGCGATCTGATCTAAGAGTACTGTCGTATAAAAAAATTGTCAGCAAAGAAATGTGATGCTGGTAACGTGTCTCATTTCAAAGGTTTCTGATCTGCGATCTGCAGCAGTTTTAATTTTACCAAGCAAGGATTGAGGATTGGAAGGGATGAAGGAAAGTTTGCTTTTCTTTGACAGTTTGTTTAAATGAGCCTGACACAGTACTGCGGGCATTTGCAAGAGTAAGGAAGGATTCAGTTACATCTCCTCTCTTTCAATTAGTGCTGGTAACGACATCCCTTGTTATTTTCTGTCAGTGTATTTACTCGGCCCTTGGTATCATTAGGGACTTTTTTCCGCCCACAACACGGCTGTGAAGCAGTCAATTACTCCATCCAATATGTTAGCCCTCCTTTTCTTTCCAGCTTCTAAGATTAACTCTTTGATACGAAGCATCACTCTTCCCAACTCCCATCACTGGTTATTCCCGCTTAAGCCTGGGAACAGCTTCTCCAGCTCGTTAGCAGAGGTCCCTCGAGCAATGGGGATTTTGCCCTTCACGCTATTGAGATCATTACTTTCATTTGATGGAGCTTCTTGGGTAGGAAATGCTTGTTTGTGGCCAAGAAAAAGCATCTTAATTCTGAGAGGCACTGAGTGCCTCCAGGTCTCACGGGGGACCATTAGAGAGGATGGTGCCTTGTGCTGATGCTGGAAGAAGAGGATTATGTTGGAGGGAAAGTCCTGGCAAAGCCTGGGCTTCCTGCTTGTGTTTTCACAAAATCACTGGAGTTACAGGAGGTGAAGAGCTGAAAAGCTAAAAGCCAGCTGAAAGCAAAAGCCCATAGTCTCACCTGTACTGGGCTTTCCTTGGCAGCTCCCTGCTGTTTGCTCAACCCCATGGACAAAACAGACAAGGTTTGGAGGAGGTCCTGCCTCCCGTTTTCTCAGGCTTCATGCCTAGACCACAAACACTCACCTTTTTCTTTTGGCAGGGATCGCACCTGCTCCATGAGGACCAGGCAGAGAGCACGCAGTCACGGGGCTGCGGTGAGGTGCTCACGGACCGGGCACGCCTGCTGTTGGCCGCGCTCTCATTGGTGCCACTCAGGTTAAGGGACTCCTTTTCACCACTGCGTTCAACAACATGAGAGCTTCAGTGTGTGAAACCACCAAGCTGCGAGGACAGAGCAACCTGGCCTATAACCTTGCAAAACTACGCGCCAAAGAGAACTAATGCTTGTTAGACCTCACCAAATCTTCCATGTGACCTCTAGATTTCAGTACTCATTTCATACTGGCATTAATTCTGTATGAAACCTGATCCACTCTTCAATGTCCAAGAGTAGATCCAGTTCTCTACACCACCACCATGACAGTAAGTCTACAGAGCCCTCAGGAGAGGTGACTGCAGAACACGTTTGATCTAGCCGGCCTAGGAAACTCAACCCACATCCCACCAACCTTGGCTTCATCTCAAGCTGTGTAAGCTCTACCAAATAACCTGGCAAAGTGGCCAGCAGTAAAATCTGCACCATCAGTTGCTGCCCGTGTCCTACTGCTCCCTGTTGCTTGCCATTTTGATACTCTGCTGCCGGACACAATGGGCAGCTCCAAGATCAGATACCTCCACGACAAACACCACTCACAATACTGAGGGCTGGCATACACTCAGCATTTTTGAAAACCAGGCTTAAGCACCTCCCTTTGCTGAGCAGCCCATTTTTCTCAAGCTGACCAAACCCATCAGTCTTAGACTCTATTCTTGGTTCACAATAGAGAGTCATTAACCCATTAATCCTTTTCACCCCAGTAATGAACCTGAACCCCAAATGTGAGCCTTCACTCTGCACCCCAGCCCCTCTTTTGCCTCCTCACATGACAACTGTCTCCAAGGTTTCCACGGTGCCACAGCTAAAATGCTGCCTACTCTTTGGCGGATTCAGTCTTTCTGATTACATACTCGTTCCAGACAAATGCTTCCTTGTAGCACCTAATCCAAGTGGGAAGCCTTAGTAAAACATCGACAATTAGTTTCTTTTCATACCCGCTTTGACAAGTAAACTACCACAGTAGCATTCCCAATTCCTCCACCAAGACAAGCAACAGCATCAGCTGAAGCTTTAAGTATGATTCAGTGCGTGCCAAGGGGCTCTCATTACTGCATATTAAAAATCACATGGAATAAAGGAATTACAAAAACTCATCAGCTCACTGAGGCATGAAATCGGAGCTCAAAGTTCAGAGAACAGTAGAAAAATATAGATAGTCTGGAAAGATTACAGTCACTGATTGACCACAGTCCTCTGAAAGAACAAAATCTATTAAGCCAGCAGAGGAAGAAACAACTATCAGCCAGATTCTTGCCTCAAAGAAAAAACTCCCATCTTCCCAGGACATGGTCGGGCAGCTAGCACAGGAGGAGGCTGCCCATCGCAGGCAGAATCCCACATTATGACATGAGCATGGCAATTCGTTGTCTCGGATTTATCAAACAGGATTACTTTTCTAAAGGCAGATGCATCACACTACGTTAACTTCAAAACAATTCCTTTCGCTATTCCCTAGGAATACAGAAATCGCTCAAGGCAGCAGTTATGTGCTGTACAAAGGGAAAGCAGAGAGTCCGTACTGATTTTCACTCTTTACCATATTGCCTCATGGACATGGCTTCAGAAATGTTCACTTACCCAAAGCAATGAAGGGTTTGGATGTTGAGTACAGCGCAAAGCAGCAATAGTTTGACGGGGTACGGAGCAACCGCGGCGCGTGCTGTGTTCATCGCTCCAAGGTACCATCGGCGATTCGGAACGACCATTCCGTCTGCTGGCGGGGTTTGAAAATGGTTCAAGTAGAAAAAGATAAATTACCGGGTCGTTTTTCCACACTGTAAACAGCAGATGACCCACCACCTGGCAGATTCACAAGGTAAACGTTGCAATTGTTAGTACATGGCTTCTCTGGAGGCAAGTGGGAAGGAAGCAGAGATCTGTCCAGAAGCGATTCACAGTTTCACTTGTAACGCTCCTTTCAAGAGACAGGGAAAAATGAATATTTCAAGAAATGAAACGTACTCGAGTCCTGGCAAGAGGGAAGTGATAAGTAAACTAAAGTCAGCTTTCTAGGAATAGAGTAGACTGCAAAATAATTTATTTCTGCTAAAAGTGTCTGCCTTCCAGAGGAAGGCCAGGCACGAGGTGTAACCCGTCATTCTGACGGCTCAGGGAAAGTCTTCAACCCCAGGAGTGCCCTTTGCAGCCTCTCACCGGGGTTTGGGGTCCTGCTGCAGGGCGAAGGACAAGAGCCTCAGCCCTGGCTGGGCCCTTCCATAGAGATCCTCTGCTCCATGCACCCAAAGTCTTAGGTCCATGGAAGAAGGACCTGTCGGGGTATCAAATTAAACATCTTGATATTCTCTAGTTACTCGGTTGAGTCATTCTCTTTCTTAAATGGTCCTAAGAGAGGCAAAGAACTTACCAAGGGCTGATTCTCATCAATTCAATTAGGCTTTCAAAGGTAGATCAGTATCTTCAAAACCTTGCAGAATTCTTCTTCGGTTGCCTGTTGAGACAGCCTTCATGTCCTGCTGCTTCTCTCTTCAGGTACGGCTTTTTGATTCCTGAGACACAACGGTTTTTCCCTTCATTTTCCTAATTAGTCTTAACCTATGATGAGCTGCTTAGAGAGAGAAAAGTTCCCTGAATTTGTGTTTCCCTGTACAAAATGATGAATATCATTGCGTTTTCCTACCCTTTCTCTCACTGGACAAGCAGAGGTTCTTCAAACACAGCCTCACTCTGTGTGCAACTATGGCTTTTAGCAGCACAGTCTCTCACCTGGGAGAAGTCTCCAAGTGCTTTGATGATATGAAGAATAAATACATTTTAATTTGCTCATTATGGGAATCATGGATGTTATATATAAAATTAATCATATTCACCAATACAAAACAAACGTGACGACCGCAGTGGGTTACCTGGCCAAGTGCTACACCACTTAAAGTGTCACAGTTACCTTACAAATGACATTATTCTGACTGTGGAGCCATGTCTCTGCAAAATAAGCTACTGGCTGCTGCATCTTTCTAGTCTGGCAGCTTGATGATAACAATTTAACACAGAGGAGCAACTTAACCGATTCCTTGTAGGAATCTGCTCCGAATAAAAAGATTTTGTTTCAGGCAGCCAGTTTTTTAACCCAATGTTACTGAACTGTCAGTGACTAACTGCCCTGTAGGCATGGAGGACAAACTGTTAGGAAAGATGGCTTAGGCTGTCCAAAGCTTTTTGTTTGCCTTTTGCGTTTTGTTTATTTTTTTTTGTTTCAAATGACTTTGCCCCAGCCTATCTGATACAGCTTGCTCAACCTTTGACATCATTGATTTAGCTGTTAATCATTTATCTACAGAAAAAAAAAAACCCCACACGTACAGGAAACAACTCTCCATACTGGAGACCTTTGCTGGCTGGGAAATGCAGAACACATCCAATATTTCAACAGCAGCAAAAGAGAAGCTAAGATTATAAGCACAGAGCACCCTCTAGATTTAACTGCAAACCATGACAGTGATCCTGATGTGGGAAGATCTCAAAGCAACCTGCTCCTGTTTGCTGCTTGTCTCTGCTTTGCTGCCTCTCACCACGCACATCTTAGTGGTGACCACGCTTGCTCCTGAATTAGCAGAAAGACATTATGTTAAAGCAGCAGTAGGGACCCAAGAGACAGAGTTTCCTACACGTTAACATAGTTTTCATAGAGAACTGAAAAGCAAAATCAGGTTTGCCACATAATTTATAATCTGGTTTAATTAGAAGTAGGTCTAACATGGGAAATTCACAACCACCACCACAGCTCATTTTCCACTTCCTTGCAGTTTGGGGCTCAGCGGGTCCACGGATCAGTGGGAACGTTGCCGTGTAACACCTTCTGTGTCCTCTTCCTCCAGTCTTGATCCTTCTTCGTCGATGACTGTAATAGCCACAGCAGTCTGCTGAGCTGTTTGTAAATCCCAAAGCACTTAGTGCTAACAATGCTGGAAGTCACTGAACATTGGGTTTCATCACACCTGAAAATGAAACCTCACTAAGCGTCCATCATAAACACTGAGCTTTCAAGTGTAGCACATCCTTTGCAGAGCTCATAACACCAACGTGAGTTTGTGACCCTTTGCTTCCTGTAAATAAACTTGCACAGTTTCACCAAAGATGATTTTTTTTTTTAAATGGCAGTTTCCTGGCCAAAGGAAAACTGTGAAACACATCACACATGAAGGGCCCTCCCTGGGAAACGTTAGACCACTAGCCTGTTTATGGTATCATTAGTGCACTTTTCAAAAAGAGTTTCTTTTTCTTCTTCTCTGAGACAATCTTTTCATTCCCCGCTTCATAACTCATAATGTGCCTCGTTCTGCAGAAGAACACAACTGGCTCATTGAAAGGTAAGAGGAGGCTCTCCCACTGATTTTAATGGTGAAGAACATAAGGTGGCAAAAAGATGGTAAAGTTTGCAAGTAAGAAACCCTAAGGAATGTTTTCGAATGTTTACCACAACTGATTCTGTTGCATCCCCATTTTTGTTACTAATACATTTTCTGGTGGTGAGGCCGGTATCTGAAAAGCCCAGATTTTAAAAACTCATCTTGTTGAGCTTAATTCTCCTTTTCCTGCCTTTTGATTCACTAACAATAATGCCTCTTATTGACTCAGTCCAACCTGGGCACAGGTTCATCTACTTCAAAACCTTTGACTCTGAGGTCCTGTGAAGGCACTCTAGGACGGGGCTGCAGTGACGAGTAGACGAAGAAAGAGAAACCCACCCTGCCACACTCCTTGCCTCTATCTCCTCTCCGTCAGAACTCAAGATAACACAAAAACTCATTTTCAAACCCGAAACGGCATTTTTTTAAAGAGAAAACAAGACACTCATAATCTCAATACGTCAAATTGTACAAAATTTACCAAAAAATGCAACATCTTACAGCATTATAACTTCTGCTTATTTCCAATACAACTGGCTTGACACTAAGAGTCTTTCTCAGACTCCTAATAGCTATCTGTTAAAGAAGACAAAGATGCCACAAAAGGTCTTCGCACTGCTAGTACCTCGCAATAATTCTTCATAATCCTTTATTTTCACAAACGTCTGAGGCTGAATGGACATTGATTTGCTGCCTGTTAACCGGGTTTTCTTTTAATCTATTGTGATTTCCTTTCCTCGCTGGTCAGGAGTATTTATAGAAGTGGTGCTGCGGGAGCTATGAAATGGGGTTGAAAAGCCAGCAAATAATATCAGATCTTAAAAGACTTTTTTTTTTTTTTTTTAAATACATTCAGTATCTGAAAGCCCCTTGAATGGGTTACATTTGAGGCTATTCTTCTTATTGAGATTTTTCAAGTGCTGATAAAACATTTTAGGGTGATAGATGAGCCACAGGGCAAACACGTCCATTGAGATAAGACTATTTAAAGCTCTAAAAACTAATAGTTGGAGAGTCGTTTCACTAATAGACCTGATATTTCCTGCCTCCAGTAGGATAATTTTAGAAAGAGACAGGCAGTGTTACAGGTAATCAGGAAATCGTATCGGGACATCTCCCCATATTCCTCACTGTCATGCTGAAATGTATAATTCAGTTTCCCCACACTTTCAAACAGCAAGTGAAGCAAGAAAAAATTACCCTTTTGCCTTCCCCATGCCAGCTCTCTGCTTCACCTTAGATTTTTTTTTTTTTTAAAAAAAGACTTATAATGGGGCTGATCCTAAAAAGCAAATCAGTATGAGAAGACCAACTTTTGGAAGACCTCATAACAAGAGAGCCGACAGAAGCACTCTCACAAATCATGAGTTTTGCAGCAGTAACATCAGACCACAGCCAGGAAGAGGGGGTGAGTCCCACTGATTTCGCAACCAGGAGCAAAACCACAAGCCCGGAGTAGCGCATGCAGCAGTTAAGGACAGTGATAGCAAAAGTGTTAGTATCAATGCTTGTGTAGATGACCCAGGCTCACACGTTCACCCAAAGTCTCCATTTTCTCGTTGCCATATGGACTTTCACTTTGTTCATTCACCACTGTGTGCTTCCCATGTTGGCTTAGAAAGACAATACAGACAATGGATTCAAACTTCAAAATTGCCAACAGATATCCCCTTTTCTTTCTTTGAAATGATATTGTGATCGAGAACAGTATTTGCCAAAAGACTAATAAATATGAACCTGCCAGGACATGAGTTGTTTATAAAAGAAAGATAAAAGGAAACAGTGCATGGAAATATATATCACAACCCAGAAAAAGGCAGAAAAAGGTTAGCTTATCTGTTGCAGCAACTGTCACTGTGTAGTGATTAAAGCACATAGAACATTGCCTTTAATCCAACTTAAGCGAGTTAAAACCGCGTATTCCCAGTCTGTACAATCAATTGCTTTCCCAGAAGTCACTGGCATGGAAACGAGAGATCTGTCAGAGTTCTCAGCTGTGTAAAACCGCAGGTTGATTCTGCAAACTGTTTGCTAAATAAATTCACATTACTGCAGGAGACCATGGCCTTAATTAGCATCAGTTAAATCAGGACCATTTCTTGAACTAGTCACGTCTGGATACCCTCATATACAATCTAGAGACTCCTAGTGCACTTTAGTTACAGTAATGTTAATGGAATACAGTACATTGACACAGCACAGTAAGAATCAGATTTTTTCCTCCTTCTGAACAATGCCATCATGTAGCCAGGTCCTTCCTACTTTGAGATTCCTCACCATCACCAGACCAGATCTCAAACTTGCTCGTTCTGAATTTTTAAACCGAGTCTGTATAGCAACTG